TTGGCCTGCTGTGTTCATCCAGCTCTACACCTTGTTATCTCTTGTTATTAACAAGTCTGCTTTCTAGGAGAGGGTCTGCCTTAGAACATTGCGACCCACAAAGTGTGCCCTCTGTTCTGGTCATGCTCTGGCTCACTCACCAGCACTCTGGCTTTCCAGGAGCCGATGCATTTTACGATATGGCCCTGGCGGGATGTTGAGATTCGCCATTGCGTTATCAGGATTCATGGTCGCGTCCTTTAGGGTCTTCTCCCCATTGCCATTGAGGTTGATCACCTCGTGCTGGGAGCTCGGCTGCAGGGTCGGGTAACTCCTGGCATCGGCCGCCCTCTGGCCTCTGTCCACTGCCCCCTGCCGGAAGGAGGACTTGCACTGCACCGGCTCAATGTGGCAGTTGGCGTGGTAGATGCTGTGGACAGACTCGGTATTGGCGGGAGCCGTGGGTGCCGGGAGAGGGTGCAGCTTGGTCAGGGGCGAGGGCAGCACGATGAGGCGGTTGGCGGCACCATGGTGGGCAGGGTCGGTCTCCGTGTCTCTGATCTCCGGGCCGGCGCGGTGGGCTCGCAGGTTCCCGTTGCTGACGTGGTAGTGATGGTGGTGATGGTGATGGTGGATCAGGTGGTGGATGGAGGACGCCCGCTTGCGTTTCCGCCGTTTGCGGGGCTGTGGGCCCGGCCCAGTCCAGCTGCCGGCCTGGTGGCTCCTCCGGCTCGCCACCAGGTGGCACACTCGCACCACCTCCCGCCTGGCCTTCCGCACCATGTGGCTAATGTACTTGAGGAGTTCGTCATAGCAGCTCCCTGGCTCAGAGAAACTGGCCAATGTGCTGGCGTTGGACATGAACCGAACCCTCTGCTCCTTCATCAGCTGGCTTTCACGCTGCTTAGTCTCGGAAAACTGGGTGGCTATGACGACCAGACATAAATTGATCATAAAAAATGACCCAACCTGGAAAAGAATGAAAATATACAGGAGAGAGTTAAGAAATGAGCATTGCAATTTGACCCAACCTCCACAGTTGAGGGGAACGATAGAAATGTGTCGGGAAATTGGCTTGAAATGGGGATGGCAAGGTGATGAAGTTCAGCAATAAATGCCAGGAGCCAATCCCAAAGGGACTATGGGAGGATAAAAGGAAACACAATTGCAAAAGCAAAATATCGCAGATGCTGGGAATCTGAAACAGATACAGAGAATTCTGGAGAAACTCGGCAGGTCTGGCAGCATCCATGGAGAAAGGAGAAACAGAGTTAACATTTGGAGTCCAATGTTTCTTCTTCAGTACTGGTTCTGCTTCTTCGATTCTAAAGGATCAGGCTGGACTTGAAACGTTAACTCTGTCTCTCTCTCTCTCTTTTTTTGCAGCCAGACCTGGTGAGTTTCTCCAGTATTCTCTGTGCTTGTTTCAGATTACTGCAGTTGCAGGAGAGCCGAAATAAAGACGAAGGGAAATGCTGAGGGCAGGGGCAGAAAGAAGGGAAAATTGGGACATGATCGGTTTTGGAAAAATGAAAGAGCAAGAGGTGGGAAGAAAAACAAAACAAAAGTTGTGCGATTGCCCATTTAACATGGAGTTGAGGAGAAATTTGTTCCCTCAGAACATTAAGACATTGCGGACCTCCCCTCCCCAGGGACCAGTGGAGGGCGGGTGGGAGACATTGACTATTTTTAAACTAATGCTAACTAGATTCTTGACTAACCACAAGGGAGGAAAAGGCTATTGGAGACACTTTTGGAGGACTTTGGGCTTAGAGTCATAGAGAAATACAACAGAAACAGAACGTTTGGTCCAATTCGTCTATGCCGACCAGATTATCCTAAATTAATCTAGTCCCATTTGCCACGATTTGGCCCATATCCCTCTAAACCCTTCCTATTCATATACCCATCCAGATGCCTTTTAAATGTTGTAATTGTACCAGCCTTCACCACTTCCTCTGGCAGCTCATTCCATACACACACCACCCTCTGTGTGAAAAAAATTACCCCTCAGCTCCCTTTTGTATCTCTTCCCTCTCACCTTAATCCTATGCACTCCAGTTTTAGACTCCCCTATCCTGGGAAAAGACCTTGTCCATTCACCCTATCTACGCCCCTCATGATTGAGGTTGCCCCTCAGCCTCCGACATTCCAGGGAAAATATCCCCAGCCTTTTCAGCCTCTCCCTGTGGCTGAAAGCCTCCAACCTCGGCAACACCCTTGTAAATCTTTCCTGGACCCTTTCCAGTCTAACAACATCCTTCCTATAGCAGGGAGACCAGAATTGTATGCAGTATTCCAATAGTGGAATACCTACAATTGTGGAATCCACAATTGGATCAGTCCTATTGACTGGGGGAGCAGGCTGTTAGGTGGCCAAATGGCCTATTCCTGTTCCTGTTCCCTTATTTGAATATGAGAGGTCAGAGGACAGGAGTGATTAAAATGACAGAGGCTCCAGGCCAAAGGACGTGGTAATGGGAGAAGAAGCTAAAGATGCATCATGAGGTGACAAGAGTGACAGGGTGACTGCTGAAGCATAAGTGTCTTACTGTACAGTAAAAAGCTTTTCCTTGTCATTCTTATTTCAAACAGGTACCGCTCACTGAGCATTCATATCAATGGAGCTTTCATACACTTTGTTCTATAACTGTGACAAGGCAGGTCTGTGCTGAGGATCAGCAAGAGGTCGAAGTGCAGATGTGGTTTACATGAGTTAGCCTGTACCTCCTAAAGCTAACCTGCACCTCCTAAATCTAACCTGCACATCTTAAAGCTAACCTTCATCTCTTAAAGCTAACCTGCTGCTCCTCTTAAAGCTAACCTGCACTTCCTAAAGCTAATCTGCACCTCCTAAAGCTAAGATGCACCTCTTAAAGCGAACATGCACCTCTTAAAGCTAACCTGCACCTCCTAAAACTAACATGCACATCTTAAAGCTAACCTGCACCTCCTAAAGCTAACCTGCTCCTCCTAAAGCTAAGATGCACCTCTTAAAACGAACATGCACCTCCTAAAGCTAACATGCACCTCCTAAAACTAACATGCACATCTTAAAGCTAACCTGCACCTCCTAAAACTAACATGCACATCTTAAAGCTAACCTGCACCTCCAAAAGCTAACCTGCTCCTCCTAAAGCTAACCTGCTCCTCCTGAAGCTAATCTGCACCTCTTAAAGCTAACCTGCACCTCTTAATGGGCAGATGCCTTCTTGCTCCAGTAGTTTGGAACAGTTTGTTGGCAGGGATAAACAGTGCCAGTGTTACACAGCAGACCAGACCAGGGTTCCCAGGTACAGGAGTGCAGTGCTGGTGCTGGAACAGACATCATAGGGGCAGGGTGCCCCTGAAACATACACTGCAAAGGTGATGGGACCAGATTGTCAAGGAGCCTGGCTATCCTTTCACAAAGCACTGAACGACCTCATGTGAGTGCTTACCTTCAAATGTTACCTCTGACCCAGTGCAGCATAAATCTCATGCACCCACACTCAATGCAATCTAGCTCATCAGTAACTATCAGCAATCTCTAGCGATCAGAATTCATGGCTAAGGTGCGTATTCTCCACTTCACCCTGACACATTTATGGTTGCAAACCTCACACGTACATATCTCACAGCTACCACATACCTGTTACTGTTCAACCACATCACTCAAACGCTTTCAGTCTCATCCCTCTTCTCTAACTGGGGAGGGGATATATAGCAGTAGGCATTCAGTGGGGCAAGGCCTGGCTGCTCTTCCTGAGCCTGTTGGAGTTCTCTGAATTATTGGTGCCATGGTTTCTGAGGCAGTGCCACTCAGCGTAGCTGAGTGAGACTGGGATGCCAGCTCGTTCCTGTTGTTGGCACCTTCTGAGGTCTCACTTGACCATCATCGTCCATGTTGGCACGACACACCAGCTGCAGCAAGGGTGATATGCTCCTCTTTCCAAATGTCCCGCGCATTTGGCATTTTGGAGAGCAACGTGCCACTGCCCGTCAGTGGGGGGGTGACAGTGAAGAGTGTGAGCGGTGTTTTGGGGAGACATTGGGATTTCTGCTCTGGCTCAGATACTGGCATCTTGTCGATTTTAGAGGACAGTTTAGAAGCGGGATGGTGTGTCAGCAGGGATGAGGGGGCTGCAGCCAGGGCAGGGGGTAAAGAAAACACAGGTGACACATGACAGTCTCATTTTGCTGCAGAGGATTTAGGTGAGGACACTGAATGGGTAGCCCTTGTCATCTCCTGTTTAGTTTGACATGGGAGAAGGTAGAAATGGCTGACTGGAATATTGTGGCAGCTGCCTGGATTACAGTTTACTCCATCTCCCTGCCTATTCTCCAATGACCCACGGTACAGCAGCCCGAGGGAGATGGAGACTTTCCACTTCTCTTGTTGCTCTTTGCAAAAGCCCAGCACCACTCCCTGCTGATTCGAACAATCCGAGTGAATTCCTCCAGCAGGGCTGGACATACATCGAGGGAGGCAGGAAAATCCCACAACAGCCAACATAACCCATCCCCACTGACTTTCCCCTCTCTGCTCCATCTTCCCCCTCCCAGAAAATTCAACCAATCACTGAGGGGGGCTGCTCCCTCAATCACAGGAGTGTTCTATCCCATGACTGGAGAAGCAACGAGCAGTTAGCAAGTAAGGATTGGCGAAGAGGGGAATTCTAGGAAAGCTGGAGTCAGCAGTGACCTCAGGCTGGGAATGTTGTTGGGGGCCAAGATTTGGGGAGAGTCATCTGCTGGGCCCTAGGGGGAGAAGTGAGGAAGTGATGGCCTAGTGGTATTATCACTGGACTATTAATCCAGAGATCCAGATAATGTTCTGGGGACCTGGGTTCAAATCCAGCAACTGTAGATGGTGGAATTTGAATTCAATGAAGCTCTGTAATTATCAGTCCCATTTAACCATGAATCGATTGTCAGGAAAAGCCCATCTAGTCCATTAATGTCCTTTAGAGAAGGAAACTGCCATATTCACTTGGTCTGGCCTACATGTGACTCCAGACCCACAGCAATATGGTTGACGCTTAACTGTCCTGGGGGAAGGTGGGTCAGTCTGTGGTGCTCTCATCCCATGAATGAATGAACATAAATTAGGGATGTTGAATCTGGAGAGAAGGTGAATGCTGTGAGAGGATTGGGGGACGAAGAAGCCTTCAACAGGGATGGATGGAGGAAGAGGATGGAAGGGAGGTGGGTAGAACAGGAGGCTTGAAGAGAAGTGAAGGCAGGGAAACTGCAAGGGGTGTTAGCTGAGAGAAAGGCCACAAAGGAGACAGAACTGTTTTTTATACCCGTTAACAAAGGAATACTCAGCTAACTTGGAGTGAGGAAATCTTGAAATCACTCAGGTAATGAATCTGGAATCTCTAGCTTATGCTGCATAGGTTCAAGAATTAATAAAAACTGAAAGAGCTGCAGATGCTGTAAATCAAAAATAAAAACAGAAATTGCTTGAAAAGTTCAACAGGTCTGGCAGCATCTGTGGAAAGAAATCAAAGTTAACATTTCAGGTTGAGTACCCTTCCTCAGAACTGATGGTAGTTAGGAAAATGCTGGTTTATATGCAGAAGATAGGGTGGGAGGAGGGGGTAAGGAGTAAATGATAGGTGGGGATAGAGCCCAAAAAAACAGAAGAGCAGTTGGACAGACAAAAGAGTGAATAACGATCTGGCTAGGAGGGTGAATAGCTGTTAATGGGGACTGTTAGTGACTATCAATGGCTTGCGTGTAACAGCAGGCTGTGATTAACAAGATCTGGTGCGTGAGGGCTGGGGTAATGACACGGGAGAGCTTGAGCCCTAAAATTGTTGAACTTGGTATTGAATCCAGAACCAACAGGGTTCCCAAGTGGAAAATGAGTTGCTGTGCTTCCAGCTTATGCTGAGCTTCACAGGAGGACTGTAGCAAGCCTGAGACAGCGATGTCGGCTAGGGAACAGGGTGGGGTATTGAATTGACATTTTCCTAGCTACCATCAGCTCTGAGGAAGGGTCACCGGACATGAAACTTTAACTCTGATTTCTCTCCACAGATGTTGCCTGACCTCTGAGTTTTTCCAGCAATTTCTGTTTTTGTTTTAAGAATTAATATGCAGAGAAAATTGTAATGGGTGATATTGTTATGAACAGTGTGTCAATTGTTAAATTTAAGTCAGATTGAGTCAATGAAGTAAATGGTAATAATTACCCGGGCTAAGTTTCCACCTTTGTGAATATGTGAGGTAAACAAATTATCTGTGGTCTCACCAAGTCTGTAGTAACTATGATTCAGGTCAAAGTCTTTTGTATTTAGAAGTATGTGTCAAAAATTTGGAAAAGAAACCCAAATTAACTTATGCCTGTTGTCTTTTGCCAATTTAAATTATTCTTGGAAATTAATGCTTTTCTTGTGTGTATTATCTTTTAAGTTTAAAACGGGGTTGATCATTATTGAGGACATTGCTGAATTCTTCTAATTATGCTGCTGCTGCATGAGTCCAAATGAATTATAAATATGGAATGATATATTCTGCATCAACACATCTAAAGAAGATATTGTTAGTAAGTGAGTTGACGACAGTTCATGAGGAGCCTTTGCAAACAAAAAAATAACATCAGAAAATCAAAATGTAGACCTCGAGAAAGCCCCAAGAAGAGGCCTCAGAATGAAAAACCTATTCTTTACCCTGTCCTCCAACAACAGCATACGCGACAAGTCTACTCAACAAAGTCCAAAGCAGGTTAATTGAAAGTCTGGTGCCCTTATATAGCACGAATGCTGAAGGTTCTAAGAGCATCTTAAGGCATTTCTAGCTGCGATTGTTTAAGAAAGAACATTAACAGGTGGTTCAAGTTGACAGGCTGAGCTTCAAATGAGTGTTAGACATTGACTGATAGCACAATCAACTTGCTTCAGTTGCATTCTTGACTTAGCTGTTACCTCACCCTTTCAAGCATGACAGTCCACACAGGACGTAGTGAAAATTAATTGCAAGATCATTTTCAGCCTCTTTGGGTTCCCATAGCGCTTCAAACAGCAGGGGAAAGAGCCCAATTTTGCAGCCACCACGTTTCCCAATTCAGTGCTCAGGAAAACTTTTCAGAAACTTCCGATGGCCCCTCTCCACTGGAACTTGAGTAGCTATGGTACTTTCATGGTGATAATAACAAACTCGTGATTCAGAAGCTTGGACTAATAATCCAGTGAAGGTGAGTTTGAATGCCACTGTAATATGACAGAATAAAATGGGAGAATTTTATATTCGGTCTAAAAGGACCTGGAAATTAAAAACGGGGGGTCAGTAAAAATCACCATGAAACTATCAAACCATCATAAAACCCAACTGGTTCATCCATGTGGATTAGGGAACTGTTGTTCCATTCTGGTCTGGGTTCAGTTGTGGCTAACTCACACTGGCTTTTTGATATGGTCTCACAGTCCACTCCATTGTAATATGGTCTTCTCAAGACAATGAGGGCCAGACAGTCGATGCCAAATTAACGCCCACATCCCCAGAGAGAAACGAAAAATCAACAACATGTACTTACTATGATGAGAAGGATGAAGTAGATGAAATTGTAAAACGAATGAGCATCCATGACAAAATACATGATGTCAACCCATCCTTCCAAGGTTATAACCTGAGAGAAAAATCAGATATTTCAGAGATTCACAGAGCTTGACATCAATCAAATCATGTTGTTGACCAGTCATTCTGTATTTTAACTTCAATAAAATCAAGACCTAATGATCGCCGTTGCCCATTTTTCAATGGTTCTAGACTGTCTTTGATCACAATCTTTTGGTAACTGGTGCCCTTGGCAGAAGTTATAAATCCAGAAAATTTGACTAATAATCAAATTAATGTGAGTTAAAATCCTACTGTAAATCTGACAGAACAAACATTTGTCAATTTTATAATTGGTCCAGAAATGATCTGGAAATAAAAAAACTGGGATTAGTAAAAGTCACCAAGAGACTATCAGATTATCACAAAACCCAACTGGTCCATGAATGTGGATTACAGAAGGATACCTGCCTCTCTAATCTGGTCTGTCTCCACAAGGATTTACCTCATTTATGAATTAATGCTAATTTTATCATTTATACAGATACATTAATAGTGGAATGAGGCTACTAGATCACAACAAACAACTATGATGACATAAGGAAAGTTGGTTATTTTTGTATCTGCAGATATTACTCACAATGACACAGCAGTATACCTTTATACATTGACATGGCCCCAGGCACTTTTCCCGATTAAAAAGTTTTGGCAGTTTGGGAGTTCTTGGCCCGTGCTAGGTGTTGTTTTTGGTGGTGGCTGGGCACTGCCAATCAGATCCTTCATGCACTTGTTACTCTCCCCAACACCACATGCTGCCCTCGAAGCAGCTGTGGGTGGGGGGAGGGAGGGGGATTGAGACTGTCACACATCTCCTGCTGGAATGTGCCTTTGGAAGGAAGGTCTGGAGAAAGATGCAGCGATTTATATTGAGGTTCTTTCCCAAGCAGCTCCGTGATGCAGGACTCTGTGCTCTACTGTATGTTCCCCTGGGACGCACACTGAGGACAAACATTGATTGCGCTTGGAGGACCGTCAACTCGCTGAAAGATGCTGTTTGGTCAGCCCGAAACTTGTTGGTCTTCTAGTGTAAAGTGTTAACCTTGACCGAATGTTGCAGACTGGCACATTCCAAGGCCCAGGACTATGTTCTGAGGGACGCACTAAAGCTTGGGGTTATTGCCACCAATGAACAGTGGGGGAAGACCACTGTCTGAGGTCTGTGGGCGGCTCAGTGGTTAGCACTGCTGCCTCACAGTGCCAGGGACCCGGGTTCGATTCCACCCTCGGGCGACTGTCTGTGTGGAGTTTGCACATTCTCCCCCTCCAGTGCAATCCCATCCTTCCTATAGTGCGGTGACCAGACCTGCACACTGTGCTCCAGCTGTGGCCTAACCAAGGTCTGGCACAGCTCCAGCAGAATCTCCCCTGCTCCTATAATATATGCCTCCACTGACAAAGGCAAGTGTCCCCTATGCATTCTTCATGACCTTGGCCTGCCACCTTCAGGGATCTGTGGACAAACGCCTCAAGGAGTGCAGAGGAGATTCACCAGGACATTGCCTGGGATGAAGCATTTCAGGGATGAAAAGAGGCTGGGTAGCTGTTTTCCCTAGAGCAGAGAAGGTTGAAACTGGGGACGGGTTGTGGAATCCTGATACAGCTGTATAAAATTATGAGGGACATGGACAGGGTGGATAGAAAGCAGCTGTTCTCCTCAGCTGAAGAATCAATAACAAGTGAACGTCATTTTAAAGTGAAAGTCAGGATGTTTAGAGGGGATTTGAGATAAAGCTTTTTCACCCTGAGAGTGGTGGGGGTCTAGAATGCACTGCCTGGGAGGGGAGTTGAGGCAGGGAACTTCATAACCTTTGAAAAGTGCTTGATGAGCCCTTGAAATGTCATAACAATCAAGGCTAGGTGCTTACTGCGATAAAGTGAACGAGTGTAGGTAATAGTACAGACTCGAAGGGTCAAATGGCTTCTTCTGCACTGCATGATTCTAGAATTCTATGATCCTTCTGATAAACAAAAGAACTGCAGATGTGGAAGTGCAAAAGAAAACCAGAAATTGCTGGAGAAACTCAGCAGGTCCGGTAGCATCTGTGGAGAGAAAGCTGAGTTAATGTTTTGGGTCCAGTGACACTTCTTCAGAACTGACTGCGTAGCGAGGAAGAGGTTGGTGGAAACGCCGAGGTAGAGGTGGGGGAGGAGGGCGGGAGGAGTAAATGATGGGTGAAGATGGAGTCCAGCAACTGGGCAGACAAAGGAATGGGGTGAAGGTCAGCCCGGGAGAACCCAATAGCTGCTAATGGGGACCATTAATGGCTGACGATGTGGTGTGTGTGGTAGCCGTCCACGTGACATCAAGGCCTGGCGTGTGGGGGTTGGTGGCAAGGACATGGGAGAAGATGCCTACGTGGCTTGAGCACCATGAATCTTGGAACAGACTCTCGAGGTTAGATTCCTGAGCCCTGTTCTGAGGTCAGCTCCATGGTGACGGGACTTCCACTTGCTGGTGTGCAGAGCTGTGCTTTCAGGAAAAGTAACTTGGAACAGGGAAAAGGAAGGGAAGAAATGGCCAAAAATAAAGCCGTGCGAACGAGCGATTGAGAGGAGTGAAGCTGTTGAACAGGGACAGATGTGTGCAGGAGCGAAGCCAGCTATAGTAAGCAGAGCGTGTGGGAAGGCAGGCAACATCTGTTGGTTGAGAGGCTTGGAGTGGGGGGGGTGGGTGGAGATGGCAGGGAGAGGGGTGAGCATGGAGGAGGGGTTGGGTTGTGTCTAACCAAGCTGCAGCAGTGGCACGCAAGATCGAGAGCTCACGTTGCCTGGACCACTGCCTTACACTCCAAATGCCGGATACAAAATACTTCTGCTGCACGTACCAGGACTGAACCATCTCTCCTGAAAGAACATATGTATTGTGTTGAAGAAGGAGTGGGGGCTTGGGTTGAGGGGGGGGGGGGTGGTGGTGTTGGTGTGGGTGTGGAATTGGAAAATGGTTCTCACGAGCATCTGGAACTACTTATTAGAATACTACAGTGTGTTCGGAATCATTGTAAATGATTTTCAGGTCCTCTGTATCTCAGTGTTAATAGAAGGGAGAGTATAACTAAAAGAACTATTTATGGATGCAATTTATTTTCAGAAAGGGTTTTCTTATGCTGTGGCCTAATGATGAGTCACCTGGCACAGTGTCTTGGCACTGGTTAATGGGTGGAAATTCATAGGGAGAGCATGTCCCTGTTTTGTAGAGAAGCCCTCCTGACAGACCTGGAAATATATCACCATTCCTTCACTGTCGCTCGGTCAAAATCCTGGAATTGCCTCTCTAAGGGCATTGTGGGTCTACCCACAGCACATGGACTGCAGCATTTCAAGATGGCAGATCACCAAGGGCAAATGGGACGGGTAATAAATGATGCCCACATCCCCTGGGTGAATACAAAACAGGCAAGCTCCACACAAGTGGAGCAAACGAGCCTTGCAGGACCAGCAGACGAGACTGTAGCACTACTGCATCATGTATTGACACTAAACACAGATCAGTTTACCTGGTGAGACTGAGTTGGTTCGCATCAAGGTTGAAAAGTGGCATTTCCCTTGGAACAGGAAACGGCAGGAGAAAAGGGTGTGAAAGTAATTGTAGGTGGTAGTGAATTGAGGGATTGCTGAGGGTGTTGGCGGCGGTGGGGGGTGGGGGGTGGGGGGGGTCTAAAACTGATCACCCATTGACCTCCTGTCTTTGCATTGCAGCCCAGTGTCTGTAGTGATGCAGTAAAGAAAACTACATGGGTCTCAAAGTCCTCCCAGCTGCAGAGGCTTCACAGAGATTCCAGTAAGTACTGAGACTAGGAAAGTCTACAGCAAAGACTGGAGGTGCCAACTCCCCACGATTGGCCTGGAGTCTCCAGGAACCAATCTCCAAGACAAAGCCGTATGCAACACTGGAAGAAAAAAAAATCACAGGGACGTTAAAAGAAAAAGCTTTGCTTTGGAGGTGAGAGCATCGGTTTCTCTGAACATTTCCATTTACCATTTACAAAAATATTGAAACTGCTGTAGTGGGGAATGCTGCTGATTGATAGATAAGCATCATCCAGTTGGGTAATTATTTTGCTTTCTGATTGGTGTAGGTGGGCAGTGTGCTGGTTGACCAATGGCTGAAGTGGTTTGGGGGCCAGTCATATGATGAGCCCATCAAGGAAACACTGATTCACAGTTGGGAGCCTGAGGAAAATGTGTGTGACATGGGACAGGCTGTAAACATTACATTTCCCATCCAGTATGGTCCAGTAACTGCCATTTGACCCTCTGCTTCCCATGGGGTGCACGGTGTGTCTTAACATAGTGGGAGGGGACTGCCTGGGTAGACGATGCTTGGCTTCTTCCTTTCTGCCTCTCTGTCCATTAAAACTCTCTGGCTGATGAAGGTCAAACAAGTGTAGAGATAACTATGCACTGTGATGCTCAGCGAGCTGTTCATGAACGTTCTCACACGCATGGATTAACGTCTAATCCAAGCACGCCAGTTTGAGAGCTTGTTTCAGTTTCGCCTGTTCTTCAAGTAATCCATTTGAAAAAGGAGAAAAAAATAAAACAAAGCCGAAGGTTTAGTTCCGAAATGTGTCAAGCATCAAATCTGAAAAGGCACTATGTCAGAAAGCTCAGTGGGAGCTTCCCCTCTCCCAGGATATGTAATAATGTCCTTGCAGGTCTTTTACCTGCTTACTGCCTCCTCCTGGCATGAACGCCATGCCCTGTTATAAAAGCATGTGCCTAACCTCCTGTTTCACGCACTTAATTTTCATTCAGTTATTACAATGTAAAATTAAAAAAAGATAAGCTGCTTATCAATTAATCCTCTTCAAGATAATTTGTTTGCAGACAGTAATTTTTGATCCTCAAGTGTTCCAGGATGGTTTTATTTTCAAGGGGCTGTGCAGAGGAATTTGGATGATTTTTTTTTGTGTCAGTTTTAAAGTGATGTTGAAGGTTACTGAGTTACCTTGAGAATTCAACACACAGAAGCTGATCATTGCTTCCGGCCAAACCTGCATTTACACCGCAAGA